GAAATTGTTTCATATACTACTTAATGAAATTTTAATGAAACTGTTTCATGTATTTCTCTAAAATTAAAATAATGAAGATGATAATATCCATGATTAATATCCTCCACAATAAAAATGATTAATTAACCTCTTATAATTACAAAAATATGAACAAAATGAAAAATTATGATTGGTGGAATGAAGTTTTTACGGTTTTTACAGATTGAATGGTTTTCATTTGATCGTTTCCCTATATATATATATATATATATATATATATATATAATATAGAGAGAGAACTTGGTTCAAATGCTAACAAATTATTTGTGTTAACTATGTTAACCAAGCTCAACCAATCATATTCTATCTTTTCCTTTGGTTCAAATGTAACTCATATATTAAATACAAGGGTATTTAAGTAATTTGTCATTTTATGTAACTCCCAAATAATCAATTGGGAGTTACAAATTTGAAAATATCACAATTGATCATGATGCAATATTGACATTGAGGTTTCACACGTGTTCACGTTCTATAATTCATATTTATTTTAATTGACAGTTCTCACATTTAACATATGAACACATCAGAAATCACACAGCCTTAGATGCCGTGATTCATAAGTGTTCATGTATATTCAAGTCACTAGATGTTCATATGAATACATACACACACAGAACATGTGAAAACATGTGAACACGTATGAAAACACAAAACCTTAGATGTCTTGGTTCATAGGTGTTCCTATACATATAGCAGAGTTGGCTCATGAAGATACAGAAGATGTTCATACGGTTCACATGTTGTTCATATGTCTAATCTTTTTTGTTTGATGTGGTTTGAAGATATACACAAGTTGTTCATATGTCTGACAACTCGTGTATCAAAGATATATTATTTTTTACCTAAATACCTTTTGATATTTTGTTCACATATGTTAATTGAAAATATTWATTTATTAATTAATTTTTAAATATCATTAAATCACAACCGTTTATTATTCAAATTAACGGTCAAGATCGGTTAACAAAGTTAACACGATAATTTTGGTTAGCATTTGAACCAACACCGATATATATATATATATATATATATATATATATATATATATATATATAGGGGAGCGTTCAAATAAAAACCACCCAATTTGTATAAACCGTGAAAACCACATTCAACCAATTATAATTTTTTATTTTGTTCATTTTTTTTGTAATTATGAGAGGTTGATTAACCATTTTTATTGTGGAAAGTGTTAATCATGGATATTGTCATCTTCATTATTTTAATTTTAGAGAAATACATGAAACAGTTTCATTAAAATTTCATTAAATATTATATGAAACAATTTCATAACCATATATGAAACAAATTCATCAAAAAAAGTATTATATGAAACAATTTCACAAAATTAAACAATTTCATGAAAAAATTTCATAAGATTAAACAATGAAATGTACGTATGAGGGTGGTTTGTACGGTTTACACAAATGAGGGCGGTTTTCATTTGAACGTTCTCTATATATATATTAGAATTCATGGGTAATCTCCCAAATGCGAGAGTGAGAGCTTGTTCCATTTGAATTTGTCTTTTATTATCTGGTGAAGTTTTCAATGATATTTGGCTTATTCACACCGAATTTGGCATCTAGATGATTTTTCCTCATACCATTGTAGGATATATATTTTGTCCCCTTCCATTGCAACTTTTTTCCATCTTAACTTACTCATACTCAACAAATTAATGGAGCCCCAATGGTGTTTTTCGTTGATCTTGGTCTTCTTATTTGCGATTTGCAGTTTCACAGGCATCTATCTTACTTCCCTTTTGCATTAATTGATGCAACTAATTAACTACTTTTATTTACTAATTAATCAGCAGCTAGGATTATCTATCTTACTGCAGATTGCTATGACCCATTGGATCCAAATGGGAATGTTACAGTAGCTTTCGACATACTTCAATGGACACATGATGGCTATGTGGTTGGTTACTTAACTTTTTCTTTAATTCAATTCAAGATTCTCTATTTTTGCTTGGTTTATCTTAATATAGGTGAATCCTAGCTCAATCTCCAACTGATGATATCAAGTTGAAAATTTTCGTTGTAACTTAACAAGTCGATCGTATCTATTAATGTGCAGTGTGCAAGAACCCAAATTAAAGGAGAGTTTTGATATCGTTATTTAAAATTCTCATTGATCATCTTAATTACTTGGTTATATATCTTAGGCAAGGGTAAGTATCCAAAACTACTATCAATATCGTCATGTAAACAAACCTGGATGGAAGTTGGGGTTCACATGGAGCAACAAGGAGGTGATTTGGTCCATATCCGGTGCTATTGCAACACACCAAGGGAATTGCTCTAGTTTCAAAGATGAGATACCACATTGCTGCATACCCACCCCACAAATAGTTGATCTCATGCATGGTGGTGTTCTTACTGCCAGAGCAATTAACGCTCAACAATCATCTTCCTCTTTCAACATGGTTGTGGGTAACTTGCAAGTCGTACAGATGCCTATAAATCTTACTTTATTGGTACCCGGACCTGGCTATACTTGTAGCCCTCTGGAGGACACTGAACCAACAGTTTCTCTGGTCATTGGGGGAAGAAGAGAAGAACAAGTTTTTAGTAAGTATTTAGTTAATTAATTTCTAGCTCAAATTCAATAGTTTTATTAATTCAAATCATTCTGGGATTCCAGGAACATGGAAAGCAACATGCACATATTCTAGTTTTCTGGCTAACAAAATGCCAGTATGTTGTGTTTCATTATCAACATTTTATAACCCACAAATCACAGCATGCCCTCAATGCAGTTGTGGATGCAGACCAGCAGACAAGAAAACATCCTTCTGCATTAGGTATCTATCTATCTATCTTTTCTCTAAACCTAGTTAATTTGTAATTACTTGTTTTCTAATTAATGAGTGTACATGTGTATGTGATGGACATGCATGCAGTGGTTCTAGTCATGATTCTTCGCTTGAGACAGAATTCATGGGTAGTTCGGACACAGTGAGATGCAGTAATCATATGTGTCCCCTTCGAGTCCATTGGCACATTAAAAACAACTATATGGATCACTGGAGGGTGAAACTGACAGTTACCAATCTAAACTACGATAGAAACTACACTAACTGGAACCTGTTGGTGAATCATCCCGGTTTTGGTCCATCTGCAACAACTTACAGTTTCAACAGCACCTTGCTCCACACTGCTGGGATCCCCGGTAATTAAATGCCAACTTTCATATTATATTTTCAAAATTAAAATTAAAAGGTCTAGCTAGACTTCCTAATTCCTATATATTATACATATACTAAATGATTATCAGCTGGTTGCAGATGATGTAGCCTTGTTTTGGGGTATCGACTACTACAACACGGACCTTCTGAACGCAGAAAAGGATGGAGTGGGTTCAGTATCGACGGAGATAGTGTTAGGCAAGGATCCTGCAACATTCACATTACACAATGGTTGGGGTTTTCCCAGAAGCATCTATTTTGGTGGTGAAAACTGTGTGATGCCACCTCCACACACTTTTCCAATGCTTCCCAATGCTGCTTCTACTGCTCCATCTACTACCCTAATCCTCATCATCCTCCTCCTACTAACATTTTAATACATCTAAACTAATACCATGCATGCTTCATTGGCTTAGATTGATGGTGCATTTAATTTGGATTACAAATTGTAAATAAGACAGTAATATATATATTATAGTGTATCAAAATTTTCTTTTTACCAAGGTGATAACTAATTCTTTTAGATTGTAATATCTCAAGTCATGTAGCAGCCTTTAATTAATACGAATTAGTAGTTTGTGATAACTAATTCTTTTAGATTCTCGTGATTTTTAATCATTAAAAACTTCCTCTAAATAGGAATATCTCCATGCACATTCAAACAACAAATTAACGACAAGTGACAAGTATTTGACATTTGACAACACCACTAAATATACGATGGAATAGTTTTATAAGTGCGTGCCATTTCTAATTAATCAATGGTTGTCCTTTAATTTGCAGGATTTATGCATTATATACCAACCTACATTTGTCATGTATTTTCTCATTCATCTCAACCCAGCACTACAATAAAATTAATGGCGTTTTAGGATGTTTAACGTTCTTGTTTAGTATACTACTTAATAGAACTTGCCAACAAGTTTGAGTCATATACAATAACATTACAGTAAGTTGTTAAGACCAAATTACAACACAATCTAAAAAGTTATATCGATGAACAATCTAATAAAAATAGATCTTTTTATTATACGACATGAAACACAAATAAAAAAAAATTATTTCCATTTATTTTCTTCTTAATTTTGAAAACGCAATATAAGTTTTCTTCCAAAACTTTCCTTATAGACGTGAAAGGAAAGAGAATGAAAAAAACAGAAATCATAAGTTTTCTTCCAAAACTTTTTATTTACTTAGTTGTCTTTCATTTTTAAAAACACAAACAAAAAGATTATCTTCATTTCGTTCTTTTCCATCTCTTCCTTTTTTTTCTCCAAATTCGAGAAAGAATGGAGAAAATTAATAAAAACATTTTGAATTTTACAAATGTTTGAAACCTAAATTTTACAAAATTAATAAAAACATTTTAAATTCTTGATATTTTATGGGCTGGGCTTTTACCTGGGCCTCCAACTTCTGAACAGTTTAGTTTGACCTAAATTAAGTCCAACGTCCCTCCTCCTCAGTTTCATCGACCGAACTGAATCCTGAAGACGTCTTTGAAGCCAATCGACTCCATTCCTCGACCTCACAGTCAGACTACAGACAAAGCTTCTTTCATCATACAGAGCCTCGTATTAGTACAATGCTCACAAAAAAATTGGTAAGTATCCCCTGAATCTGGAGAACTCGATAGTATCTTCACATTTTGTTCGAGAGTGGAGATGTCTTGTTGGGACGAATGGGTAGAGCAGGCGCTTTCAAGATTGGAGTCTATGAAAATCTTACGGTCTCTACGACCCATTAATTACCCCTATCATCCCTTTGAAATTGATCCCAAACCTGACCATGCTTTCGAGGTATTTGATGGTATTCGTCAATGGGATAGGGCTTCTGTTGAAATAGAGATTGCAGAGTCTACATTTCAGAGATGGGTCCAAGATGTTCCTAGTTCTGGTATGATCTAACACATTCAACTTTTAGCATTTGCACTGTAATCTACATTTTGAGGAAGACAAAGTCAATTTCCGTATTATTTTTGGTTGCAGATTTTCAATGTTATGTTTGATGTATATAACATTTATATACGGTAAATTAAACTCACACATACTTCTCACCTTTGGTGAGACTTGAACCTCTAGCCTCCACAAAGTTGCGGTTACCGGATGCCGCTTGGCCAATGGCCCTTTGGTGATTTTCGTTGTTTTTTCTTCTTTTTTCTTTTGGTACATACATTTACAAAGAATAAACTAAATGCACACTTCATAATGATTTTTTTCAAGCTTGTATGAACAATTAATGTCGATACCCAACTAAATTCTATGTTTTGTTGTGCTTAGGTAGTATCATATATTGACATGGTAGATAATCATTTTAATTTACGGTGTGATGTCTTCCTTCTCATAAATGATTTGGGTAAACACAAATTACTCAATACGTCATGCACGGTTTTGTGCTGGTTTTCCAAAGAGAGTATTGATGGTTAAGTTTAGAAACCCAAGTGACTTGTAAATGTTTTATGATCGATTGCACACAAAATCATTTTGTGGTGGTCATTGATACTTTCGGTTAACAAGTATGACTAGAAATTCTTGTTTGTACAGAAGCATCTTCTATAGGCCATTTAAACTATTTGAAGGACCTCGATATTTTTTTGAAGAGTAGCAAGCAACTAAGTGTTTATATGTGGTATTAGAATTTTGTTTTCGTATTATTGATAGCATTCAAGCATAACCATCTGATTTGGTTAACCAAATTTTTACAGGGGACGAGCTGACGTGTGGCATTGGAGTTAGTGAAGTGGCACCATGCCCTAAGCCATTCAGAAAGCTACTTCTATTCTCTGGGAATGATTACTTGGGTCTAAGTTCACATCCAACAGTTGCAAAGGCTGCCGCAAAGGTGGGTGTTTGATGTTAGCTCTTTTATCTAATCTTTTTGTATAATATATAGTCTGTGATAACGTTGCATAATTTCCTTTTTATAAATAGGCAGTTCAAGAACATGGGATGGGCCCAAGAGGTTCTGCTCTAATCTGTGGTTATACAATTTATCACAGACTACTGGAATCCTGTTTGGCAGAGTCAAAAAACAAAGAGGTGTTAGCTTGCTCTTTTATTAATCAGTGTTTGTCATTGTGAGCAAAACGATCAGTTTATCATCTGTTAAAATATGAGAAATATGTAGTTTGCATAACCAACTGGTGTTTGATGTATGTTTATGTAGTTTTGGTTTTGTGACGGTTTGTTTATATATTAATTCCAAAATTATTAACTGAAAGCTGACACAGTCTTGTTTACGGTTACTCTAGGATTGCCTTCTATGTCCCACAGGGTTTTCAGCCAATATGGCTTTTATGACAGTAGTGGGATATGTTGGCTCTCTCTCAACTGTAAATGAAACACCTTCGGAGGTTGGTGTTGCAATATTTTCTGATGCTCTAAATCATGCATCGATAATAGATGGTATTCGTCTTGCGGAGCGACAAGGAAGACTACAGGTTTTTATCTATAGGCATTGTGACATGACCCACCTTAATGGATTGCTGTACGCTTTCTATTTCTTTGTATATGTCCGTTACTCACTTTTATTTGAATTATGCTTCCACATTTATGTCTTAAGGCTTTACATTTTCTACTTGGCAGATCAAATTGCACGGCTAAGAAAAAAGTAGTTGTGACAGACAGGTAAGGTGCTTGTGTTTGTTTAGTGTTAACTGTTTCACTTTAAGATTAAAAATGTCACACTTGTATCAACTTGGAGAAGAAACGTAGTTTTAATATCAACTTAATTTATATTTGATTATGTACCTAACACCTCATATATGTAGAAAAAGAGAAGCGATGAAAGAATAAACTACAGTTTACAACTGCAACCATTTGCAATTGAATTAACTAGCTGAGTATATTAGCTTCCAAACTACAGTATCTAAAGAATGGTGCTTGGATTGCCAGAAAAACTGCAATAGGAGTGGGTGAAAACAGTATATTCAAAGCTACAGATAGCATTGAGATCATGGTTTTGGAATTATTTGAATGCAATCTCTGTACAGTCCTTATGCTCTATTTATGGCTTGGATGACTGGCTACTCTATGACAAGTTTACAACCATCAAACTCAGCACAATTGCTTTGTAGAAGAAGAGAAATGTTTTCGTTCCTCACACGCACTTGCATTCTCTCTCATCTGTAGTTTTGCTCTTCTTTGAAAGCATGGCTTACATATCTTGTCATTATCTACCTATACAAAGGTTGTCATGTGGTGTACCCTTGATGGTTTGATGAACACAATTGATTTCAATATGGAATTGGAAAGGTTACTATAGATTTCCAGGCATTTTGAGACTGTCGGATGTCTCCCAAGGCTTTCACCCAAAACACACACTAAATTGATCGATACCCTTCTAACCTCATACTACGTAAAGCTACAATTCCTTGCTTAATCCATATGTACCAGACTACTGGTGCATTAGACACTTGTACCATAGTCTACTCTATTTGACCTATCGACTCTATTACCCAGGGTATAACATCATGCATCTCATTTGATTCAGTGTTGTTTCTTATTAGGTGTTCAAATCATAACTATTGGCTTGCATCTGTGTTATGATAGGTATATTAAGGGGATGTATTTTTGTGACTTTTATCAGCTTGTTTAGTATGGATGGAGACTTTGCACCGATGATCCAACTTTCCAAGCTTCGCAAGAAGCATAACTTTTTGTTGGTAGTTGATGATGTAAGTTTTTTGAATTTACCGATAAGATTATTTTATTGTGTTTATTTATAAATAATATCTTGTACTGAAAATCATTCAAATTTTTAGCTGATTTTTGATGGTATGATGAGATATTAGTTTCTCTTACGTTCTGTTGATCCCTAGGCTCATGGAACACTTGTTTGTGGCAAAAATGGTGGGGGTGTACCTGAGGAGTTCAATTGTGCAAGTGATATTGATATATGCATAGGCACTCTTAGCAAGGCTGTAGGTTGTCATGGTGGTTTCATTGCCTGCAGGTTGATATCATATCACATCATATCTCCCTTTATTATTGTATTAGTGGTGCTCAACAAGTGATATTTATCTATGTTTGAATTTACCAGCAAAAGGTGGAAACAACTGATACAATCAAGGGGCCGTGCTTTCATATTTTCAACTTCTACTCCTATACCAATTGTTGCTGCTGCACATGGTAAATGTTACTTATTTAGTTGAGCAAATGATATGGGCATTATTTATTTATTTATTTATTTATTGTTAGCTGCTATGATGGTGGGAAAGAAGGAGACATGGCGTAGAAAGGCTATTTGGAAGCGAGTGCAAGACTTTCGCGCTCTTACTGGAATTCCTATTGCAAGTCCCATCATTTCCCTTATAGTAGGATGTGAAGAGCAAGCGTTGCAAGCCAGCCGGTCCCTCTCTTTCTTTCTTTCTTTCTTTTGTTTTTCTTTAATCCATACGATATAGTTGATAGTTTTGTTGTTAAACATCTAGGCACATGCTGAAATGTGGGTTTCATATAACTGCAATCAGGCCCCCAACGGTACCAGCTAACTTATGCAGGTACGCTACGTTTTTCGGTTGCTCCTTCCTCTTTTATTAGTGTCTAGAAAAGATTTAATTGTATGTGTTGGAAGTTGCAGGTTGCGGATCACTCTGAGTGCGGCACACACTAGAAATGACATGAGGAAACTTGCATATGCTTTATCCCAATGCATGAGTTTAAGAGAGAGTGGAACATCAAAACTCTGATGGTTTTTTTACATGAGAGTTGTTAGTCATAGGAGTAATTGTTGTTATGAAGAAAAGTAGTAGCAATTTGTGTTGATGGAAACCCCTAGTCTTTGGATTCATGGTCTTTAAAACATTTGATATAGATGGCTTGATTTGTTACCAATGAAATTGATATGTTGCTTAATTCATACACAAACTTTGTCCAGACTTCATTTCCACATGTTGTGGATGGGCAAGACCTAAATTGCTATTATATATAAACTAGCGTTCAAATTCATGTGAAAAAGACAAGTTTTCATTGATTGTTTTTGTTAATCTTGTTTTTTCTATAAATGAACTGCATTGGAATTTCATTTTCATTATTTATAGTGGCCAAAGTTGGGTGCACGCGAAAAGATGGTTGAGGTATGTACCACATGACATACAAATTATTGATTATCATTTAAAATAAATTAATACAAAAAATGACATAAAAGTTGTTTTGGTGTTTGGTTGCGATTTAAAACCTTCACATTTTGTGGGGTCAAAATGATAGAAAAAGGGCGTTTTTGGACATCCAAGAGGTCCAGGGTGACCTGGATCGTGGCCAAGGTTGTGTAATCAACCATAGTATTAATGTGGAAGGTGGGCGACTTGGCCTAGGTCGTATAGACTTTTGTGTGGAGTGCGGTTTTAGGCATGGGCATTCTCGTTTTCTTGTACTATTGTGGTTTTCTTGGAAGAAAAACTAATGTTTTTTCTCTTTTACATAGTCACTTCAAACTAAAACCAAGATCGAAAATACGATTACGCTTTGTTAGTATATACAGAATAAATAATATTTTTAGAGATTAAAGCTTTTTACCTAATCTTCTTACATCAGATTAGAAAATATATTCTGAATAGAAAATCAATGGATAGGATTGGGAAAAAATATAAAATATTCAAGATTTTAGATAATAAAATGTTTTCTATAAACTTAGAATAGATATTTGTGAAATTTGCAGCATTTGAAAAAGATCCGACTTTGTATTGTATGAAAGTCGCCCATCAAGAAACACCTTCTGTTCATGTTCAGCAATCAGCATTCGCTTCCTCAGTTGAATACTTGAAATCAAACCAAAACGCTTTTCTATCTCTCTCTCTCTCGCCGAGAGAGACAAGTAAACACTGATCATGGCTCCTCCTCCTAACGAAGATAACAGCATCAGCCACGACTCATCCGATGATCAACATCGCCCCATCTCTACTATCGTTATCATCATCGGTCATTCTCATTCTCTTTCTCTTTCGATTTGTTTTCCTATTCGATATAGTTAGGTTTTACTAATACGTTTGATCGAGTTGCGTTTTGTTGAGTAGCTATGCAGACGGAAGCACTTCCTCTTGTGAATGCGTTTGAGCTAACGCAGGACACTAATCCTATGTGTGTTCTCTTTCTCTCTTTCACCTTCTCATTTTTGTTCCTATTTAGTTGATTTTATTTCTAGTCTAGTTTTAGGGTTCAAGGGTTTCAGATTATTTAACTTTCCTACGTATTATTTAACATTTGACAAAAATAATTATGCAGTGGGTGTTTTGTCCTGAATTCTGGTTAAAAATCATTTGTATAGCAACAACTTTAGTTCTCCATTTGACTTTTTTGCACATAACGCTATAGGACCATGGAAATTAAAAGTTTAAAGATGATAAATTTATGCACTTTTTTGCAAGCACAAAATTGTTTTAGACTAATTGGATATAACAACTCCCATTGTTCAATCTTACTTTATTGATGAGTCAGCAGGCTAAAAGATTGCTCATGTGTATGCCATATGTTTATGCTATGTCCCTTACGCTGCAAATACTTTGTTCCTTCCATCTTTTTCTTTTTACTTGGAATGTAATTTGTAAATTCAATCATGCAGATTTCCGAAAGGAACTCCTTGGGTCCGCTATTATGGTTCTTACAGAGCTCTAAATGTCAATATCATTTGGCCAGGAAAGGATGCTGTTTTAGGTGAGTGTTGGGTGTTATCAGTGGGTCCAATTAATCGCGTATGCTGTTATGGATGAGTCTTAAGTGTTCTGTTAGTGCATACAATTATCTATTTCATGTGATAATTATAAATATGTTAATCCTCTACCCGAGTCACGCAATAGAAACATTTTACACATCCAAATTCCAAGCAAATGGGCACACTAGCATTTAGTAGTTACCAGTTTTCTGTATTACAAATTTCAAAGGTACAGCCAAGAGAAAGCCTTAAGCAGTTTTTTAGGGACTACACATGAATATAGCTGCAATAATCATGCGAATTACAGGTTATTTAGCCTTGTCTTTGTTTATGTGAATTTTGACCCACCAGGTTGGGAAGGGTCTTTATTTCATGCAGGAATATCTTTAGAACATATTGCCTCATCTCTAATACAAACATAAATGGATGACTAAGTCAGAAATGATCAAGTAACTTCCTTTTCTGATCAAGTAGGTAAGAATAACGTAGTTTCTTTTTTGTGCTCTCTTTATACAATCTATTTCTTGATTATCTTTAAATTTGTCTCACTTTCATGGGAAAGGCCTTTCTTTCTTGCAGTGTATTGTAAAACAGGAAAGAAATTAAGCTAACTAAATCCCAAATTAGAATAGTTTAACCAAAGATAAAACAAGGGATAAGTTAGTGATTCCAATGAATCTCTAGCTTGAACAACAAGGGTGACTTGGTAATACCATATGAAGTTCTCACAACATACAAATATGATGATCCACAAAATAAATATGCATCCAACATAAAGTAAAGAGATAGAGTTAGAAGACAACACCAAGATTTACGTGGAAACCCAATTCGGGAGAAAACCATGGGTGGAGACTATTGAGAAATCCACCAGTGAAGAAACAAGGTTACAAGGCTCTTGAAGGAGAAGAAACTCAACTATGTGATCGTGTGAATGGAGATAGAAATGATAATATTGGGGATGAGAAAACACATTCATCTCCTAGGAATTTATCCTAAGAGAGTTCTCTGTTTGGGGGTACATTCAAAAGGAAGAAAATGTGTATTAAGCTTGAGCAATCCAAATGGGTGAAAGATGTAGTTGTAAAAGGCAAGTCTTTCAAGCAAAAATTTCTTAGAATTTCCTGGCTCAAGAGGCATGGTTGCTTGTAGACAAAAAAACCCAAAACAAGGAAAAATGTGCTGAAAAAATAAGTGCAGGAAACAATGTGCTTTCATAACCCTGAAGTTGGATGATAACTTCTACACTTTCGGAGCACTTTTTTCACTCATGTGAACCATGCTTCATGCCCGTGAAGCACTTGAATGGACTTTTAGGCACTATAAACAACATTATCCACCTTGACTCGATATCCACCTCTAAAGAACATAACCCAATCAAATTTCCAAGAATGAGGCTCGTCAAAGCATAAATCATCATACTAGCGAAAAGTATTGACTTCCTTGAAAATAACCATCAAGAAACTAGTCTCTTCCGCCAAGACCTTCACGGGCTATTTCAAACCACAAACATTGACGAAGTACAAAAATAAATTGAACTTAGTCCTTGCCCATAGGGAGAACCTTTGTCATATATTTGCTTGATTCTCATTGCAAATCTCATTCACCTTGAAGTCGCCTTTAGCAATAACTTCGCTGACAAAATGATATCGCACATCAGTCTGCTTCGTGCATTCATGAAACATTTGAAGATAACACTTTGACTATTACGATAAACTAAGTATACAACCAAATTGTTGTTAAGTTCACCAAATAAGCCTTTGAGGCACATCACTTGTTTAAACGCTTCCGTTGTTGCCTTTTACTTTGCTTCAGTAGTAGATAAAGCAACCATTGGTTGCAAAACAACCTTCCAACTAAGTGCATACAAGCCAATGGTGAAAACATAGCCTACAAGAGAACATTTTCCATCCAAGTCACCCTCATAGTCCGTGTCTACCTAATGGCACCATCTTTAGTTGTTTCATTGTGTAAAGAAGTATCTTTAGTATTGTTTGTACCGTCTTCCAATGTTCCTTTCCCGAGTTGAGCATAAAACAGTTTACCATGCTTATGACATAGGACAAATTGGTTTGTATACATATCATTGCATACATCAATGATCTCACAACACTTGAAAACATGTGACATATACGCTTTCTCGGGATTGGAAACAGGACCACCTTGCTGCCAATCATGTTGAAACTTTTCAAGATCTTTTTAATGTAGCCTCTTTGACTTTGAATCAAAATGCTCACTTTTGGTCTCTAATGATCTTCATTCCAAGGATCTTTCGTGCATGCCAAAAAACTTTCATCTTAAACTTGTCAATCGTCACTCAATTAACTTTTAACAACTTGGATTTCTTCCTTGGCTGCAATAAGCGTATCCTTGACATAAAATAGAAGGTACACCATTGATTATCTTCACCACTTCTTGTGTAGACACGACAATCATACAAACAAAGAAAAACCGTGTGAGATCATTAAAGAATCAAAAAGTTTGTACCATTGTCTCGGTGATTGCTTTAGGCCACATAGAGATTTCTTCAGGTGACACACAATGTCTTCTTTACCAACAGTGATAAACCATTCGGGTTAGTACGTAAAAATGTCTTCTAACTTTCCATGCAAAAATGTTTTTTGGCATCTAATTGCCTAAGTTACAAATCTTTTTAAAGCAACAATGCTTGACAAGGTACAAAATAGGAGTATGCTTGACAACGAGAGAGAATATGACCTGGAATCTATAACAAGGATTTGACTAAATTCCTTTGCCACAAGTCTAGCTTTGAAATCGATAGTCTTCAACATCCAGTATCCCATCCTTCTTTTTATACACCCATTTACAACAAACTGGCTTCTCAACGGGAAGAAGAAGTGCTCCGAAGTACCATTCTTTTGTAGAGACTCCATATCGTCATGCATATCTATATCTACTTCTATTGAGTTTAATGTAAGTCAAAGAAGGGAGAAGTTAGTAATCACAATGAATCTCTAGCTTGAACACACAATGGTCTTCTTGTTGTACAATACAAAGTCCTCACAACATACAAATATGATGATTCAAAAAATAAATATGCATCCAACACAAAGCAAAGAGATAGAGTTGGAAGACAACACCAATATTTATGTGGAAATCCAAATCGGGAGAAAACGACATGGAGGAGACCACGAGAAATCCACTAGTGAAGAAATAAGGTTACAATGCCCTTGAAGGAGAAGAAACTCAACGATGGTGAATGTGTGCGTATGGAGACAGGATTTATAATATTGGGGATGAGAGAACAATATTTGTCTTATGAGAATTTATCCTAGGAGAGTTTTCTAGTTTGGGGATGTCTTCAAAAGGAAGAAAATGGAGTATAAGGTTGAGCAATCCAAATAGGTGAAAGATGTAGTTGTCAAAAGCAAGTCTTTTTGGAAAGCATCAAAGGCAAGTCATCCAAGCAAAAATCTTCAAGAATGTTGTGGCCTCAGAGGTATCGCTTCTTGTAGACAAAAACTCAAAGCTAGGAAAAGGTACCGGAAAAATAAGTCTTGGAAACAAACTTTCTGACTGACTGTAAAGGACTTCTTTCACGACCCTATAGTTGGACAATAACTGTAACATTCTAGAATTTCAAATCCCTCGAAATAATATCAAGACCATTTCTTACATCACAACTGAAATAAAGAGTCAAGTTTCATGAGGTATTAATAATCTACTATTAGATTTCAACAAACATAATAATGTCGAACTACAAAGTTGTGCCGTAATCTGAGCTACAACTTCAACACATCTCGACTCAATTTTTCTTCTCCATGGTCTCCTTTAAGTCAAGGACTATAGCTTGGGTTGCACGTGCTTTAAAAAGTTTGGGTAAGCCTACGACCTCGAGAGGGTTATTGTTTTATGCAATGATGACGTCAATAATTTCAAATAACATTTCAAAATAGCATAAGTGCAACTTTTACATAAATACACATACTTTAATCACAAGTCATATCTGGTTTCGTTGACTATGCTCACGACTCACTTTTGCCGTGCTCTTACTGACACTTATCTATTCCTTCGTGTATTACGGTTAATTGGTAGGGTGGCGAAACCGCAACCAAAGTGCCAGGGAATTGAACCAACCTTCATGTATGACAGCAACAATGTTAACAAGAGTGTCGATAAAGAAATATTAACACTTGTAAAAGCTGGAATTGTTAGCAACAATCATTGCTAACATTTCCAGCTTTGATTGGGTCAACTTCCTTTTTTTTTGATTCTAAGATCCCTTAAACATTCTTGTGTTAATATTTCGTAGTTGGCACTATAATCCCCACATAGTAGGTTTCTACCTCCTGTTAACATTGATGCCGCCGTACATTGGCGGTCAGTTCGATTCCCAGCACTTTGGTTGCGGTTTTGCCACCACAACCCTACCAGTTGATCGTAAACTGTGAAGGATTTGATAAGTTTTAGTAAGTTATGATTTAAAGGTTCAAATGATACTTTATTTCGACTATTTGGTGGTCAAAAACTCAAACTCATCCCTAGTCTTACAACTTTGTTCCGTGTGCCCTCCCAATTTTTGTTGTTCTTGAGTCATTTTTCATTCCAAATGTAGTTGTATGAATATGGGTTTATATTTGTTGTGGTCTAGGATTAGGGAAGGGAATCACTGGGATTCTGGAGTTTCCTTTGGGAACTCCCAACTTGCTGTTCTTATGTTCCAGGGAATGACACACCCTTCCCGACTCTTCAATTTTCGAACTTAATTCCCATCGACAAAAAAATTAAAATTCCTTAATTAGAACAGTAAACATGGGTTATTACAAACTTTCCTCTTAATATAATTCCGTCATCGTAATTAGTTCTAGGCAACCAAATTAGGTATTTGGTTCTCATTTCTTGTTCGAGTTTCCATAAAATCTCTGTTACGTGTGATATTTTCACTGAACTTTTACTAAAGAAATCTTATGGACCCTCAACTTCTTGACCTTTTGATAAATACTGGATTTTGGTTCTTTGACGTAAGTCTCAATATCTTGTCCACATTCACATCTTGAAGCGGTATCTCTGTTTTTTCTTTCACATATGCTAGACATTTCTTCAAGGTAACCACATGAAACGTATTGTGGATGTTTAGTGGTTCCTCACGGAGTTCCAGCCTGTAAGCCATCTCCCTCCTCCGCCTTTTATTTTAAAATATCCATTGTAACAGGGGCTCAACTTTTATTTTTTCTGGAATCGAACTACCCCTTTCCAATCAGAGATTTTTCCTGCATAAACCTTTAATTATCTCCAATTTGAAATCCTATCAGTTTTCGCCTTTTGTCGGGATTTTTTTCCCTTGAATTACTTTCTTGCTGCCATTAACTTTTGATGATTTCTTCTTTCTCCGTTAATCTTGTCCTATTTTTCATGAACTAGGTTATTGAGTGGTACAGTATCTAATGTTGATCCATGGTTACGAGAGTAGTGGTTTAAGTCGCCCCAAGCCTCAGATTGATCCAATAACTTCATAACCAACTTAACCATCCTGATGGTAGAAGGATTAGCTCTAATACCATTTGTAACGCTCCAAACACAAAGCAGCAAGCTGACTCAATAACTTTTGAACCAACTTAAAACTATGGTGAGTTATTGGTAGCTCGCTTATATGGAGTTCATAAATCTACTTTTATATTCAAGTGGGACAGATTGTTACAGTAGCTTTTGCACTTTATGCGGTACTTCCTTCAGGTATGCGAACCCAATGCTTCACACCTTCGTGAAGCTCCTGAATGGATTTTTATGCACCAAAAACAACAGTGTATGCTGTCCAGAAGAATACTTTTTTTCTAAAGTTGAAGGTCTACTTTCTGTCTTTGATTACGCTTTTAGCTACTCAAAACAGATGCTTTGGCTTGGTTGTTAGATTAGTTTCCTAGGATTAGAAGTTTTTCTAATGGGAAAATCTGCAATATTTTTGGGAATTTTATTATAACTGTTTCTGGCAACAAGAAGAGAAGAGAGAGAATCGTGGGCAAGATAATGCAGGTCTGTGTTTCCAGTTTCTGGTCTACGTTTTTCCAGCTTCTTATTGTAGTGCGATGTAGGCCTTGTTGGTCATCGTTTTCTGGGGTTTGTGTAGACTGGGTTTGTGTATGTTTTGTCTCCTTGATTGGCCCAGCTCTTGATGATGTTGGTTGGTTCATACTTTCTCAGTATGTATTCTCTGTCGCATCAGCGTTGATAAAATCTTTCACCATTTCAAGAACATGAAATATAATGAAACTTCCTGTGATGAATTTGGAATGACTTTAGTTCAACACTTGACTTGAAAACATGAGAACTGCCTTTGCTTATACAAACTACAAAAGGTCCGACATTCAGAATGAGATCCAACCATTCTAGTATGGTTTCAAAAATCGAGTTTTATTGTTATTTTGTTTCTTAGGCATCATTTTTAGCAACATTTACAGTTTTGTCTTCCCATTTGCATTTAAGAAAATTATAAACCAGATGGGAAAATGGTAATTTTTAACTGTTTGCATTTCAAGAAAACCAAAAATGGTTCTAAACTTGATTTTGAAGTTTTCATGGTTTAAGTTTACTATTTGATGTTGATGAGTTTATTGTTTTAAACTCATTAAAGCACACTTTCTTTTTCCTTTTTAAAATTTTCATATCTAATTTAAAATATTCTTGCGAAATGTATGTCATCAAACTTAAATTACATCGTTTTGCATTAGAAAAAAATGTGGACATAAAATAGAAAAGACTAGTGTCATCAGAAGCTTCCGCTGCGACCTTCTGTTGTGGACTATGCATTCATATCATATATCATGGTACTCATGAATACATGGGGCACTTAATTTCTTAGCTTCTTATAAATTATTTTATGATGGTGAGATGCACAATTTTGATATATACTGATGTCTTTGATACACCATGTATTCATGTAAATGTGTTTTTCACATAAATGAACTTATCCAATCCTTGGAATTATTTCTTCCTCAGGGGTTGACAGCGTTGGTACTATTTCTGCATCTCTTGTGACTTATGCTGCTATTCAAACCTTGCAACCAGACCTCATCATCAATACTGGGACTGCTGGTGGTTTTAAAGTATGGATGTTATGCTGATTCATTATATTTCTTAGACTATATTTTGAGTCATTTGTTTAGTTGGAGAAACAGCATTTGTGAACTGTCTCTACTTTATGTGGGATGAAGGTCAGGATCTTTAGTGTGATTTAGTATCCCAATTCTATTTTGATAATTTCTAGATCAATAAGTTCACGGTATACTGGTATTTTACCATGTGCTTGAAAAGGTTTATAATCATGCTTGAGTGCTGAGTCTCTGCTAGAATAATACTTTATCTTACCATCTTCGGTCCTATCCCTTTTCTGAGTTTGACAATTTTTAAATGAGAGAGCAGATGATTGTGTGAATATTGTTCTTTGATGTAAATTCATATAACCTTTGGATGTTTGCAGGCAAAAGGAGCTTGTATTGGTGACGTGTATGTTGCATCAGAAGTTGCTTTTCATGATAGAAGGATACCAATCCCAGTAAGCTAAATATATTCGTTTTCATAGTTCCATGTAAAATGTTGGGGAATCAACTTGAAATCGGTGCACTTTTGATATGAATACGTTTATGGCTCTCATCTTGCATGGCCTTGAACCAGTATCCTGAGAAATGAATACACAAGGCTGCAAAGTGCATCTTGTAGAGCTGTTGTTCAGTAATTTCTGTATTATTCTGAATATCAACTAATCAAATTCTATTCCTTGTTATTTTTATCTCTTTCTTGAGATTCAGAAATAGTAGTAAACAATTCGATAAATCTGTTACTTTTTTATAGATCAGTTGAATTTGTAAACAAGCCATGAGGTGGAAAGATTTTGCAGGCAATTTCCTTGATTTATTAGTTTTTACTGAACGTTGGTGCAGGTTTTTGATCTCTATGGAGTTGGTTTGCGACAGGGTTGCTCAACACCAAATCTGGTGAAGGAGCTTGATTTTAAGGTTGATGCTATGATAAATTTGGCGATTTGGATCCTAGTTTGTAAGAGCGATCTGTTTACATAGATTAAATTTGATCTTGTTCCAGGTTGGCAAACTGTCTACCGGAGATTCTCTGGATATGACTCCACAGGATGAAGCATCCATACTTGCAAATGATGCAGTGATCAAAGACATGGAGGTAAACATGGATCTTTTCTTTCTTATTTATTTGCAAATGATGATGTAGTAGCAGTAGTTGTTATTGTATTCTTCTTCATCAGGGAGCTGCTGTCGCTTACGTAAGCGATCTTCTGAAAGTGCCAGTAATGTTTGTAAAAGCCGTAACTGATATTGTGGATGGAGACAAACCAACTTCCGAGGAATTTTTGCAAAACTTGTCAGCAGTTACCATTGCACTTGGGAAAGCCGTCACTCATGTAGTCGATTACATCAGTGGAAAATCCCTTTCCGACCTCTAATCATACATACATTTTTGGTAATCAATGTGATGTATCAAATAAATGACTGAATCATTTAATTTATATGACATTAAGCCAAAACAAATGGAATTCTTGTAGGTTGGTTGTCTTTAAAGAAAGATATGATAGATGGATTCTATTTATTGTTATATTTGCATCTTTCATTTCAAATAGAAAATTCTATTGCTTGTTGATTCTAATATGATGCGCTAATTTCCAATTGCTAATGGAAACTATACATCAATTTTGTCATAATAAATATAGCAGGTTTAGGGGTGGAGGTGTTCAAAAAAACCATGGGACGCTCAAACCAAGTCAAACTGGACCTTTTTTGGTGGTTTGAGCAGTCTGGCGCTACAGTCCCATCTGAAAAATTGTCAAACCGCTCGGACAGGTTTGGTCTGTGGTTTGAACAATTTTTTAGCGATCTGGGCCGAAACTACCTCCAAAAATAGACATATATTAGTTATATTTAGCTTTTTATGTCGTAGATTCAATTTTATGACACAATTACAAAAGTTCGTCCAAGACATTATGTTTTAGTTTTTATTTCTCTATTGACCATGTCTATCTAAATGGGCAAATTTTTGTAAGTTAGTAAAAATCAAATCCAAATGAACACAACTCGACATATATGAACCCTTGTGTGAATTGCGAACACAAATTGACATATATGAACCCTTGTGTGAATTACGAACACATATTGACATATATGTACAGTTGGTATAAATATGAACACATATTGACACAAATGAACATATGAAAAATGATGAACATGTGTGACCATATAAATACAAATTCACATGTATGAACATTCATACAACCATATGAACACAACTCGACATATATGAACTCTTGTGTCAATTACGAACACAAATTGACATATATGAACCCTTGTGTCAAATACAAACACAGATTGACATATATGCACACCTGTGTCATGTACGGGTTTTTTTTTTCATATACACCCCTGATCACACATGAACAATTCCCATAAATATCGAATATTTGTTCACATATGAATCATTAACAAAAAAAAGAACTGTAGAAAGAATCTGGTGTCGGGGATCTTGCTGTTGGTTTTGATTCAATGATGAGATTAATTCCCGGATAGTTACATTGATACTAATAGGCAGTTACAAAACATCTTATTGTCATTAATGGACGGTTACAAAACATTTCATGGTCATTAATTGTCAACTAAAATATTTTCCTAAAATACCTTTTGTAAATATTGTTCACTTATGTTACCTTGTCTATGTGTGCAATTAATTACACTTTATGTCATTAATGATCTTAGCCACAAATTTCAAATTTCAAATATCAATAGCCAAGATTGGTTAACAAATTTAATACAATAAACTTAGTTAACATTTGAACCCTCCTTCATTTGTTAACCTTGTTTTTTTATATTAATTTCAAAAACCAATCTCTAACCATGTTTGATCAATGGTTTAAATTGATTTTGTTAATTTTAGTATTAAAAGTAATTGAAGCGATTAGTAATTTTACTTTGATTTTATATTCATAAGTATGTATAACAATTTGTAATGAAACAAATTCATATGTATAACAACTGTAATGAAACAGGTTCATATGTCATATATGATTGCATCGGATTCATATGAATAACAACTGTAATAAAACATGTTCATAGAATATGTTTTTCCCTGTTTTGTCTTTCGTGTCTCCAATATGAATTCTTTTTTTTTTCTTTGTTCTTTTTTCTTTTTACTTTACTTATTTAGTTTGTTTCAATCTTGGTCTTTCATCAAAAAATGGATGAATGTGATTAGTTTGTAAGGTTTGTATGAAATGAATGGTTTGTAAAGTAAACCATATATATATATATATAGAGAGAGGAGCGATCAAATGAAAACCACTACAATTTGTAAAAACCGTAAAAACTACTCTCATCCGCCATTAATCTTATGAAATTTTTTCATGAAATTGTTAATCTTGTGAAATTGTTTCATATAATACTTTTTTTGATGAAATTGTTTCATATATAGTTATGAAATTGTTTTATATACTACTTAATGAAATTTTAATGAAACTGTTTCATGTATTTCTCTAAAATTAAAATAATGAAGATGATAATATATCCATGATTAACACCCTCCACAATAAGAATGGTTAATCAACCTCTCATAATTACAAAAAAATGAAYAAAATGAAAAATTATGATTGGTTGAATGAGGTTTTCACGGTTTTTACAAATTGAGTGGTTTTTATTTGAACCCACCCATATATATATATATATATCTATATAGGGGCTGGTTCAAATACTAACCCAATATTTTGTGCAAACTATGCTAACCCATCTTAATCGTTTATTTTCTCATCTAACGGTTATTATTAAATGAGATTAAATAAACAATAATTTAATTAATATATTAATTAATATGTGTATGAACAATTGTTCAAAGGATAAATTGGTCAAAAATTTGTATTAATTAATATGTGTATGAACAATCGTTCATCTTCGTGCCTATATCAAGGTATGAACATTCATGTGAACCCTATGGTGTGAACCCTAGATATATGAACATTAGCTACACCGTGTGAACCCTAGATATATGAACATTAGCTACACCGTGTGAACCTAATGAACACTATAATCGATATATGTTGGTCATATGATCATGTTCTTCAACCTTGATGCATGCTCGTAGTGATACACATGCACGACGATGAGACATGCACATTAACAAAAACAGGGGTTGTGCAGATAAAACCGATATCTGTACTTTATATCTGTTCGTGCATGATGTTCGTTGTAGGTGGTTTCATATGTGAATTAGTTGTCAATAAGATGAACATATTTGAATCTTCATGTCATTATTAGATGAAGATCAATTTGAGATATTGTAGGATTTGTAACTCCCAATTAAATAATTTGGGAGTTACATAAGAATGACTAATGACCTAAATACCCTTATCATTAATATGTAAGTTACATTTTAACAAAACCCAAAGATGCAACATTATTGGTTGATGTGGGTTAGCAAAGTTTGCACAAAATATTGGGTTAGTATTTGAACCACCCTCTATATATATATATAGGTTGGTTCAAATACTAACCAAAACTATCGTGCAAACTATGCTAACCAACATCAACCAATCATGTTCCACTTTTTAGTTAGGTTCAAATGTAACTCACATATTAATTGTAAGAGTATTTAGGTAATTTATCATTCTTATGTAACTCCCAAATATTTTAATTGGAAGTTACAAATCTTAAAATATCACTAATTGATCTTTATGTAATAATGACATGAAGTTTCACATGTGTTCATCTTACTGAATTTTACATTTATTCTTCCTATAATAGTTTTGATATTGTAAATTAGAAAAAAGTCCATTTTGTAAAGATTCCGTTATAATCCGAGTAATATGGATAATCATATAGTAAAACGGATCGACGACAATGAGAATGAAAAAGCTAAAAACGTCTATGAATACATTCGGAATTCGAATTCTGAAAGTGAAGAAAATGATCAATAAGTGTCCCAATATGAACATACGATAGCTATGAACACGCTAATGTGAACACGTCTACATTAAAGATTTGAGTTCGGGATGACAAACAATATACATTTTTCACTAAGTTTTGAATTTCAGTAAATTCACATCATTGTTGCTCTTTTTAATTATCTACTTTATCTAATAATAGTTTTAGTTTTGAAGACTAACTACATAGGGGCTGCTCATTATGTTCATTAAAGATTTGACTTCGGGATGGCAAACAATATACATTCTTCATTAAGTTTTCAATTTCAGTAAATTCACATCCTTGTTGCTCTTTTTAATTATCTACTTTGTGTAATAATAGTTTTAGTTTTGTTACTGTTTTATGTCATATAGCACAAATCATATCATGCTTATATAGGGGCTGTTCATTATGTTCACTGTGCTATATTACTTGATCACACACATAGCGATTACATTTTTCATACGAGGATGCATTAAGACATTTGTGCACAGACACACATATATTAACAGATATCAAATCAGCACAAATAACACAGATGTAGACGTTGGGATTCGTTATTGTTTTATGTCATATTGCTGATGTTCATTAGGTTCACAAATCCAAACTT